GCTCTGCCAGAGGGAGTGGAGGATTTTGTATTATACTGCGATGCGTCCATTTCAGGATTGGGCGCAGTATTGATGCAAAGAGGGCATGTCATTGCCTACGCCTCGAGGCAGCTGAAGCCTCACGAGGCGAATTACCCGACACATGATTTGTAGTTGGGGGTGGTTGTCTTCGCCCTCAAGATTTAGTGACACTACCTCTATGGGTCTGATGTACCGTTCACACGGATCACAAGAGTTTGAGGTACCTCATGGATCAATCGAATTTAAACATGAGGCAGCGTCAATGGCTGGATGTGGTAAAGTATTATGATTGTGAGATCCTTTATCACCAGGGGAAAGCCAACGTTGTAGATGACGCGCTCAGTTGCAAGGCAGCCCCGATCAGAGATATTTGCTTGAGGATGACGGTGGTGACACCATTCGTTTGATTATGACAGTCACGGGCTGCTGACCCTACACGAGAGGGTATGGGTGCCGTACTGGGGTGGAGTGCGGCAGATTTTGATGGATGAGGCCCACAAATCCAGGTTTTCTATTGTATGCTTACCCTTTTGTTTGTGTGTAATGAGTTGTCTTTTCTTTTGTAAGGAAGTGAGTGACACTCATTTTATGTAAAGAAGAACTTGTGAGATTTAGTTTAGATAGAGAAATATTGCAAACCCACTTGTACGCTTTCTCAACTAATGAGAGCTTAAACTCGGATTTATTTACTCTTGTGCTCTTCGTGTTCATAATTATTACATGCTTCACTAAATCATTTCATATTCCACATTCGTCATCATGATTAACACCACTACAGAGGGATGCTTCTATACCTGTTTGTATGCATATGATCTGAAGGTCCGATTTGCGCTTAACCTTCTTCACTTAGGAGCACATGATTGGTGGAAGTTTGTGACTATTGGTTATTCTCCTATGGAGTAGGTTGTAGTGACTAGAGAGCAGTTTTTTAGGATGTTCCATGATGAGTATGTTCCATCTACGAAGAAAGAGAGGTTGTCTCAGGAGTACCTGTCGCTCAGAAAGACTACATAGTTAGTAACCGAGATCACCAGGATGTTCCATGAGAGATCCTTGTTTTGCATAGAGTATGCTTCGTTGGAGTAGGTGCGGATGACCCGGTACTTGAGTATGCTCAATAAGTATATCAGAGAGTTCATGACGAACTCTCAGTACCGTACATTCGTTGAGCTATAGTCTAATGCCAAAAGGAGGGAGATTGAGGTGGAGAACTACAAGAAGGAGAAGAGGCCTGATCTAGTGCAGTCACGATCGAAAACTAAGTGGTTCAAACCCACTGATTCGAGGTCAGGAGGTTAGAAAAGGTTGTACTTGTAGCAAGTGCGGTAAGGGTCATGAGGGGCCTTGTCGGGAGGGGTCGGTTTGTTATATGTGTGTCAATGAGGGACATTTTGTGAATGATTGTCCGAAGGGTTTCGTGGTTGCTTTAGTTGCAATCAGACGGGCCATGTGAAGGCTGATTGTACATTGCTTGCCTCGAGATTAGTACAAACTCCATCTCCTGCGACCCATGCATCACTGACGGCCTCCAGGGGAAGGCCAAGGCCCCAAGGGCAAGCTTTCCAAATGATAGCAGAGAAGGCTTGGGTGGCACCTGACGTTGTTACTGGTATGTGTTCATTTATATTTCTATTAATTTATATTACGTGTATGCTTATATTCATGCTTCTGTAGGTTAATTCCTAGTGAATTTAATATCTGCGTTAGTGTTTTCTGACTTGGGTGCGAGTCAATCTTTTGTGTCATCATCGTTTAGTATGGATTTTCGTATTACCCTTGGATCATTGGAGCGACCTCTGGAGGCCGCCATCGCCGATGACTGCACGGTTTCAACTTCAGATGTTTACCGTGACTATGTGATGGAGATTCTTAGTGTATGATTTCCGACTGACCTTATTCCTATTTCGATGAGGGATGTATGTGTGATCGCAGGTATGGATTAGGTGAGCCGGTTCTAACAAGGATGCTCCAAACATACTATATGAAAATAATGTGGCTTGTATCACACATTTCAAGGAAGGTTTATTAAAAGAGACATAACCAACCATATATCACCAAATTTCTTTTTCACTCATGATCTTCAAAAGGAGTGTGTGATCTACATCCAGAAAATTCAATCAACTAACAACTTGACCGATTTATTCACTAAAACACTTCCTACATCTAAATTTGAAAATATGGTATAAAATATTGGTATGCGCGTCAAGGAAATCAAGTGATGTGTCCATCATGAGGAGTTGAATATATATTGTATTTTTTTCCTTAGTTAAGTTTTTCTCACTGGATTTTCTTAGCAGTGTTTTTAATAAGACAATTATTTCCACTGTCTATTATTAATCATGTACTTTTTTTTTTCTTAATAAAAGTTTTTTCTCATGATGTTTTACCTATTAAGGGTTTAACGAGATATGATACAATCGTCGTTCAAGGGTAAGTGTAATGAAATATTACTTAGTGAATGGGTTTTGGATTCCCTATATTCTCTCATACCTCTCCATCACTAGTGAGCATTATGACAAATATTATTATGGATTTTATAAATATAATTATGCACCACTATAAATATATTCATAACATAACACACATTTCATCTTCTTTTGTAAGTATAAATAGTAAGAATATGTATTATAAATGTTGATTGTGTTACCATAAGTAATAGAATAAACTTCTTTATAATTTGAGTTCCTACTTTATTTTTTTTTAACATAACTTCAAATCTCATAATAAAATATTATACAAAAATGTAACTAATTTCATTTGTTCTTTATTTTTATTTTCTATTTACATAGGAAAAATGACTCTTGAGGGTAATTAACTTTTGTGTTTGTACTCATTTGGTCTTTTTTTTTTTTTTTGTATTCAATATACCATCTAACTTGTTGTTTGTGTTCACCATAACCCTTTTGACCTGTGATAGCTGGTCAAAGGGTTATGGTGAACACAAACAACAAGTTCGATGATATATTGAGTACAAAAAAAGGAAAGAGACCAAATGAGAACAAACTCAACAGTTGGTTACCCTCCTGAGTCATTTTCCCTTTACTTATTTACCGCAAATCCCACGTCATCTCCTATTGATATTGATGATTTTATGAGATTCATTATTGCTTCTCTTCAAAACATAGCCCACGGAAGAACACTATTCATACATGTACAACTTTGTAATGCACTTGAATATTTATTAGGGGAATCTTGACTAAGCAGGCACATTTCATGACTACATTTACATTTCCAATTGAATGATTTATCGTATCATGGATTCTAGACAAGTCTACAAACGAGTGGAATCACAAGTCTATGATTTTTTAGTTTAATTAGCTTTAAGATCGAATTCATGGGATGAGATACAACATCAATATGTACAATATCATGCTGGTTTTGCAGACACATCACCATAATATACCTTGAGGTAAACGTTCATGCTAATAAATATACCTCTCATATATAATCATATCCTTTTGAAGAGAGGTGTTGACAACTAACCACAGTAAGTATAGCATATACCATGTTTTAACGAAGTTATCCCTCTGAAATGCTCTTCATATACGTTATAGCCAAAGAAGGTTGCAGTCTTTGATAATTCGCAACTTTAATTTCATTTAACTTTTCGGGGAAAATAACTCAGGAAGGTAACCAACTGTTGAGTTTGTTCTTATTTGGTCCCTTTTTTTTTGTATTCAATATATCATCGAACTTGTTGTTTGTGTTCACCATAACCCTTTGACCGGCTATCACATGTCAAAAGCCGGTCAAAAGGGTTATGATGAACACAAACAACAAGTTTGATGGTATATTGAATACAAAAAAGGGACCAAATGAGTACAAACGCAAAAGTTAATGACTCTCAAGAGTCATTTTTCCATTTACATATGTATAAAGTGTTACAGCTCGTATTTCAATTTCAAACTTTTAGTATAAGTTTTAACCTTTTTACAAAATTGGTTTACAATTTCAATTTTGTTACAATATGGCCCATTTGTTTTTTATAAATTCATCTGGAAATTAATTATTATTTTTTACAAAATTTCCTTATATTTTATTTAAGACTCGTTTTACAAAATTTTAAACTTCTTTTTTATTTTTTACAACTTCTTACAATTTTTACATTTTTTAATCCTTTTTACAGTTGTTTATAAAATTATTTTAAATATTTTTTTTACAACATTAGAATTACTTAGGTTAAAAAAAGATGTAAAAGAAGATAAGTAAAAAAGTTATATGAAAATGTACAATTTTTTTTTTAAGTTTTAAAACAAGTTTAAAATGTTATAAATAATTTTTATAAAAAATGTTTAAGAAAATAAACAAAAAGTTGTAAAAAAGTTTTTAAAAACTTGTAAAGAAAGTTAAAAACCCTAAAAAAAACTAATTAAGGGTTTAATTTATAGAAAAAACAGATCAAATTTATAATAAATTTAAAACTTGATCCAAATGTATACCTTTGAAATATGATATTGTGGAAATAAAAATAAAACAAATATTGTTATATGATCTTGTGGGAAGAAAAAAAAAACAGATATTGCTATTTTTATATGAAATATTTTTGGTTTGTTGGCCACTAAAAATTTGATAAAATAGTTATTTCCTATTTCACAAAAAATGCTCCATTTTATTTCTCCGCGACAATTAAACACAACTTTTATTGATGTTGTAATGTTATGTTCCATTTACAGCCCGATTATAACGGCCTCCAAAATGATGGATTAAATGAAGTCGTGATTCGCTTAAAGAATTAGCTACTTTTCAGGTTTACATCCTCCTGTTTTCCACTGTCGGATCATCATCCAACGGTGGAGCATCAAAGAAACATAATATCATGCTTAACGTTTTCAAATATGTTAAAGTGGGAACAAAATCACTACCAGTCAACACTCCGTCAGCTTTCCCTACAACAATTCACATATTCCCACAAACACTCTACACTCTAAACACTTTCTCTTTCTCTAAAACCTCTTTCTCTCTCCACCAAGCTTCCATCCATGGCGGTTTCAGTTTCAGTTTCAGTTTCATCCCTTTTCATGTCTCCAATCTTCTCCTTCTTCTTCCTTTTTACTCTAGCCATTTCAACAGATGTAGACTTGCTTCTCAAAAGAATCAAACCGTCAATCCAAGGAGAAACGGAGAATTTGTTGCTGAATTCGTGGAATACTTCCGTTCCGCTCTGTCAATGGCGAGGACTGAAATGGGTTTTCACCGATGGATCTCCATTAACATGTACAGATATCTCATCACCTCAATGGTCGAATATTTCGCTCTCGAAAGACCCATCTCTCCATCTTCGTTCCCTTCAACTACCATCGGCGAACCTCTCTGGCACACTTCCGCCGGAACTCGGGGAACTTTCGACTCTTCAGAGTCTGTACCTGTCCGTTAACTCCATTTCGGGTTCAATCCCTCTTGAAATAGGGTACAGTTCTTCATTATCAGACATTGATCTAGGCAATAATTTGTTAACCGGGTCGGTTCCTGCGTCCATCTGGAACCTCTGTGATCGACTCATTTCTCTTCGGCTTCATGGTAATTTATTATCCGGGTCAATCCCAGAACCCGCATTACCAAATGCCACTTGCAGCACTTTACTGTATTTTGATGTTGGGCAGAATAAATTTTCAGGAGTTTTTCCAGGATTTATACCTGGGTTTAAAGGGCTTCGAGAGCTTGATCTTAGCAGTAATAATTTTTCTGGTAAAATCCCAGATGAGTTAGCTATTTTAAGTTTAGAGAAGTTAAATCTGTCCTACAATAATTTCTCTGGGGTTTTGCCTAATTTTGGTCAATTAAAATTTGGGGTGGATTCATTCGAAGGAAACGATGCTAACTTATGTGGTCCTCCATTAAAGAGATGTAAACAGACCTCTGGAGGTTTAAGTTCCGGTGCAGTTGCTGGACTTGTGATTGGTTTAATGACTGGTATGGTTGTTTTTGCTTCACTGTTGATTGGCTATTCACAGGGGAGGAAAAAGAAGAGTTTCGATGAAGAAGATGAAGAATACGATGATGGTGAAGATGATGAAAATGGCGATGGTAGTGGTGAAGGCAAATTGATTTTATTTCAGGGTGGTGAGCATTTGACATTGGAAGATGTATTGAATGCTACAGGTCAAGTTATGGAGAAGACAAGCTATGGCACGATCTATAAGGCAAAACTAGCAGATGGTGGGACGATTGCTTTGAGGTTATTGAGGGAAGGAAGTTGTAAAGATGGTGGTTTATGTTTACCTGCGATTAAGCAGTTGGGAAGAATCAGGCATGATAATTTGATTCCCTTGAGAGCTTTTTATCAAGGAAAGAGAGGGGAGAAGTTATTGATTTATGATTATCTTTCAAATAGGACTCTTCATGAGCTCTTACATGGTAAGCATATCCTAACCCTTACAATTTTAATATGTTTGTTATTTAGATCATTCATGATATAACAACTAGTTTGCGTTCAATAATGTGCTTTATGATGCGTATATAGGGTGATAATTGCATAAACGATAATATTTAAATGCTAAGTAGTGTGACTATACATATTGTTATTATTGGTAACAAAATGTAAGTATGTTATTGTTTTCTCCAGAATCACGGCCTGGGAAGCCGGTGTTGAACTGGGCTCGGAGACACAAGATCGCGTTAGCAATAGCCAAAGGGCTCGCACATCTGCACTCGACCATCGAGACACCCGTTACACATGGCAACGTGAGGTCAAGAAACGTATTGGTGGATGATTTTTTCGTGGCTCGGCTCACGGATTTCGGGCTCCACAAGCTCATGGTCCCGGCTGTAGCCGATGAAATCATCGCATCGGCTAAAAGCGATGGCTACAAGGCTCCGGAGCTTCAAAAGATGAAAAATTGCAATTCAAGAACGGATGTTTATGCTTTTGGGATTTTGTTGTTGGAGATTTTGTTGGGGAAGAAGCCCGGGAAGAGTGGCGGGCGGGATGGGTTTGTTGATTTGCCGGCGGTGGTGAAGGTGGCGGTTTTGGAGGAGACAACAATGGAGGTTTTTGATATTGAGGTTTTGAAAGGGATCAGGAGTCCAATGGAAGATGGTGTGGTTCAGGCGTTGAAGTTAGCCATGGGGTGTTGTGCACCGGTTGCATCGGTTAGACCATCAATGGATGAAGTGGTGAAGCAGCTTGAGGAGAATAGACCGAGAAACCGCTCGGCTTTGTATAGTCCGGCTGAAACCAGAAGTGAGATTGGTACGCCTTTTTGATCTGTTTATGGGTTCGAAAGGTTGTTTCTTGATCTATTTATGGGTTCGATAGATGTAAGCAGTCTGAATGCAAAATGTGATGATAAGATTATTTAAACAAAGATGGTTTTTGGCGTATTGGTGCAATGGGGTTTTTGTTTTATTAGATAGCTTTAAGTTTAGTTTATTTGATATTTGTGATAGTTGTATGCATCAAGAATGTAGCAATACTTGGTTAAAAGGAGTAGCTTTATGATTTGTATTATTAAAGAAATTTAAAATGACTGTAAGAAGACTTTCTTCGCCCTGGTGACCAGGGTTATGGTAGTCATTTTAGTCTTTGCTCGATTGTATTCTCGAAAAATGGGTTTTATTGTAATTTGCACCGGATATATTTATTAAGCTCGTAGAATTTTAGTATTAAATGGATGGAGTATAAGTTGACTTGTGTTTGTTTATGACTTGATAGATTAATGAACATAGAGAAAGATATTTACTTTAAGTAATAAAATTTAATTCGGTAACTTTTTGTTCTCACTTTAGAGAGCAAAATAAGAAAAAGAAATAAGAGAAAAGAATTGGGAAGAAATGGTGACAATTTTCGTTTTAAAGGAAAACAAAAACAAAAAACTGATAATATTAAAGTTTAAACTAGTCCCAATTAAAATATGGGCCGATTGTATGGCCCGAACTGGAAACGTGGCCCACTAATTTGGGTGCTCCGTACCGGTTCACCACAGCCCACACAAGTCACCAACCACCTGAGCCTCTTTGTTAGGCTACCGAACCCTAGTTAGGCTACCCTGTACCACCCACCCGAACCCAAGTACTCAAAGACGACGACCACCACCACTGATCGCGATGGGATCCGACGAGGAAGATCATATCACCGCCGTGTACGGCGAAGAAGATCTCGACGAAGAAGATGATGACGAAAGCGAAGAAGAAGACCATACTTTACCGAATCAACACGTTGACGAGGACGATGTTGACATGATCGACGATGAAGAGGATGACGAAGAAGAAGACGATTCTATGTCGTCAGCTGCCGGAGAAGTCACGATCGCTGTCGCTGGTATTCCGAACGTCCCCACAACTGTTGACGCTACTCCTACAACAGCTACAACTACCACGACTTCGATTGTTCGATCGGACGCCATTGTGGAAGTGAAAAAGCCTATGCCTTTAGACGATTCCCGACGGTTGTTTCAGCGTCTATGGACCGATGAGGATGAAATTGAGCTCTTGCAGGGGTTCCTTGATTACACTACTCAACGAGGGACTAATAATTCGTCTCACCACCATCACGATACGGCGGCATTTTATGACCAGATCAAAGGTAAATTGCAGCTGGATTTCAACAAAAATCAATTGGTTGAGAAGCTTAGAAGATTGAAAAAGAAGTATAGGAATGTTCTCGGTAAGATCAGTATCGGCAAAGAGTACGTATTCAAAAGCCCTCACGACCAGGCTACTTTTGACCTGTCGTGCAAGATCTGGAATGGGGCCGCAGCTACTCCCGTCTCCATCCCCGTCACTGCTGATGGTGGAGGAATTGATGATGATGAACCTCATAATACTAACCTCATATTCAATTTGAATGAGAATAATGCTAACGACATTGCTGATCCAAATAGCTCTGAGAAGAAGGTGCCAAGACCAAGAAAGCGATCAAAGACGACTGCAGTTAAAATCGAAGAGAATTCCAATCAGCAGCAACATTATGGCCAAGCTGTGGGGGCGGGAGCTTCAAATCCTCAGAATCCTGCAGTCTCTAATCTGGTTGAAGAAACCGTGAAGAGTTGTTTATTGCCATTGTTCAAGGAATTGGTTAACAATTCTCCTAATGGGGCTCGTGCAAGTTTAAGGGGGATCGAATTAGGAGGGATGAACATGAATCATTTTGGTGGGTCAATGAATTTCCCCATTGGGGATATGACTGATGACAAATGGAGGAAGCAACATATATTAGAATTGGAGGTTTATTCAAAGAGATTAGAATTGATGCAGGACCAGATAAAGTCAAGGTTGGAGGAGCTTAGGTCAATGGGGAGTTCATGAGAGTCTGAACCTTTTAAATACCTACCAGTGAGTGCTTTTTAGAGTTCATATTTATTTTCTTGTTTTTAAGTTAATTAGTTTCATGATCATATAAAGAGGGTGCCTACTCAACTCGGCTATTCTTATATGTTTAGTGTCTATCTTCTTACCTTATAATCTTTGTTGTTAAATAATGTTAGTTTAAATGTTTAGCCTTTTAGTTCTTGTGTTATGAAATCAATAGAAAACAACAAAGTAAAGGAGATTGAACACAGAGTTGGCATGAGAAAACCTTCTAAACTGTTTAGGGGCATATGTGACCTAAGTCAACTGAACACTGACATTGATCTTTTACAATTACAGTCATGTTTTTAGATCAGAACTCATGTGTTTCAATTATGTGAAAATAGACCTGAAATGGTCACTCACTACCCAAATTTTCAGTAGCAATTATCCAATGTACATGCTGTAAAAGTAAAACACATGTTTTTCATATACCATTTTATAAGTGATTGTGTGCGTATACAGTCACACAATAACTTAAATATATATTATGAAGTCAAAGTGCTAGAAAAAAACATGAAAAACAAAGAATTTATGTTTTTTGTCACTTTCCCAAAGTGTCCAACATCTATGCTAATTGACATTGTACTATATGTAACATGATAAAATGAAATGTCTCAAATTATTCTCCAAAAAGCAAACATGTTTCCTCATAACACTATCTCTAACTACATATTTGTTTCCCCCCAAAAGCCACCATATATGGCATTTCCTCTCTTTCCTTATTCCAAGAAAACTGAAATCCCAAAACTTGCCAAAAGTGGAAAAGATCTAAAAAAAAGCTTCTTCATTTTTTGCCCTGTTCTCTTTCTACAACATAAAATCAACCATCACATCATCTTCTTAGTTCTTTCCTATCTAGGAAACTTACACTCAATTCATATCATAAATGGAGTGAAAGATCAAGCTTTTGACCATCTTTATCCTTATTACTCTCATTCATCACAAACATCTTTTCTGGTGAATTCAAGAAACTTTGCTGATGTTCATCTTCTTGATCAAACTGATAATAAGGATTCTGATTAATGTAGTTGGCTCTGTAGTACATAAGATTATCAGATCCAAACTGTTGACTTTGAAACTGACAAATATTAGCTGCATGAGCAGTAATATAAAGAGATGGATTAAGAATCCCAATCTGATTTGAGGGAGCAAATAGTAATGGAGGCTGTGGAAGCAAAGAAGCAGAGTAATTGCATTGGACATTAGCTGCCCTTTTAGCCTTTCTTGCTGCTGTCCTCTCTTTCTTGTGAGCATTTTGATGCCCCCCTAAAGCTTGAGAACTATAAAACTTTCTTGAACAAAATTGACATGGAAATGACTTGATAGTACTTTTAAGTTCTCCATTATTCGATTCACCATTTCCACCTTCCATATTCTCTCACCTGTTGAAATCAAAAAAATCAGAAAAGGAAAACATGGGTTATGCAGAATTCAGTATTTCAAGCAAAACCCATAAAATAAAAGGAATAAAAGATTTGACCTTGATGAAAAAAGAAGAAGTGTGAATGTGATGAATGGAACCAAAAGATAACAGTTTAGAAGATGAAGAAGAAAAGAGTTCAGAAAGTAGTTTGTTTATGGTGATTGGAAAATGTGAAGGTGAAGTGTTAATGTATATAGTCAGAAAGAGATGGAGTAGCAGAGAGAAAGAGGGGGTGTATTGTATGGGCTTGGGAACAGAAGAGATAAGAGAGGGATAGGTGAGTAAGTGTGCACCAATACGTTTCTGCATGCTGCAACCTAAACATTTATATTTATATATACATATTAATTTATATAAATATAAATATATAGAAGAGAGAGAGGATTGGGAAATGGAATCTAATGTCTTCCTTCTTTATTCACTAAAAAGTTTCTGACAGTTTATGGGGTTTAATGGGCACTTGGGCTTTTCTTTTGCAGACGTTTTTACACTTCATTGTTTCACTTGTGTTGTTGCCTGCAACTGCAAATTGCAATCTCTCTGTGTAAAATTGTCCAGATATAATTAAACAAATCTCTCAAAATTTGAGAACCAAATCTTCAAACTTTACTCACTTGTCCTAATCTTTATAATTACCCTTTATTTAATAATCATAAATGGCCAAAATCATAATCTTTAATGCAAATTTAAGTATGTTTGTTGATAATTAATTTTGTGAATATGATTCAATCGTTTTACGTCAAATAAAAAACGAAAAAAATATAATGTGTGAGTGACTATTTATTATTTGTAATATAAAGAGATATTTTATTATTTTAAGTCTGTTCAAGGCCCACCTGTGATTGTATGCACGACACTACATGCGGACCATTCCATATGGAGTTTTATTGCAACATAACAATTATGATAACACTGTTTCTGATCCTATTAATTTTGTTATTTTAAAAATAATTTTGTAAATTTAATTATTGGTTTGATTTTTTTTTTTTTTTTTAATAGATTATGTATGGCTGATTTTTATACGATGTGTTTAAGTTATGGGAGATGAGATGAGATGAGTCTGCAAAACGACAGCTACCCCACTGGGGTTTCATGCAACTGGTTCCCCAACTTTTATTCAATCTATTGGCTCCCTGCCCTGTTCTGCCGCCCCTTCATTTCCTGTTCTCATGCAATGCAATTGCTTCCCTTTACTTTTTATCCCCTCTCTCCCTCATTTATCTTTATCTTTATAATAAATAAATATTAAAAACATATCATGTTTTCAGCAGCTTCATTTTATAAAACAAGTTGTACATTTATTTTTTTCCTCCGCCATGGGTTGATTCTATTGTGTAGTCAAATCTCAGTTATTTCTTTTGAAGGGTTTTCAAGGATTAAATGATTGGTAGTATAACAAAGTATTATTTGATTGTCATTTTAGGTTACCAATTATGTTTTTTTTTTTTTTTTTTGCTAAATAATAGTAGATGATTACACTTAATGTTTATGTATTATTCTAGTCACTTGACAGGAAAATTTAATGTATGGTCACTCTATGTTGAGTAGGGGTACACGTAATGAATTCTGAAACTGATTCGGACCGGCTTTGAAAACGGTTTAGGTATATGGTCAACAATGGTTGACTTGGTTTGGGTTTCGTTTTATAGCACAAATTTTTACTACTATTAAGTTGGTTGATAAATCTCCAATGTTATTCGGATGTCATTGCTTGCAAAGAAAAGTAAGCAAAACCTCACTATCTTTACCACCCTTGCCAAACCCATCCCTAGGCCTATCTGCGGCAGGTAAATCAAGAAACACTAATACTATTTGACATGTCAAGGTTTGAACCTTGGATCAAATGTGTAATTCCACAATGCAACAACAAGGATCCCATCAAGGAAACTCCATGACCTATTTATACTAACAAAGAAGGGGCTAAAATGTTATTTTCACCATAAAACGGTAACCAACAACTGTATGCCAGTTTAGCAAAAATAAATAAATCATAAAATAGCCTTCCAACGACTATTTACACAAACCAAATTGCAACCGATTCCACCCAAACCAAATCCAAACTAGTTCCAACGATTCAACAATTACTTTGATTCCAACCATTCGGTTTGGCTCTAATCAACTTTGATTATACATAAACTGATTTCTACTTAAATCATGTTTTTTCTCCACAAACCGATTATTTTGCGTTCCCTCCATGTTAACATGTCAACAAGTAAATGAGATTTTGGTGGGATGTCAAGTCCACCAAGCAAATTACACTATTTGCTTGCAAATAATACGTAATATAATGGTACAAAGGGGTATCGATCATCGGCGAAATGATTGTATTCAATCACCAATGCAATCCAATAGAACCAGTGTAATAAAACTACCTAACTACAATTAAACTAGGGGGGGGGGGTGTGATTGTTTGAAAACTAAAAGACTTGAAGAAGTAAAATATTTGCAATTAAGCAAGATGACGAAATGCTCAAATATTGGAGAGAATTGGTCAGCCAATGCAATTCAACACAATGAACATTTGTGTGTTTAACATTAGGATTCAATATGTAAGCTTATCATTCAACCCAAATTGGTTATAGCAATCATGAATGATATGCCAAGATTCCTCAAATATAGTATGGAGGTTGGGGAAGCCCACAATACACATTCTTAATCAAAATTAATGATTCAATTTTGAAGTAATTGAACCCAAGAAAATTGATTAGGATTAAGAATGAAGGAATCCTCAATTCCTAGAGGATGTCAATGCTTACACATCCATAAATGAGTCATGATCCATAAGCTAGACATAATTTCTACCATCATAAAGCCATTGTTCCATGCAAATTCAACGATTCAATGTTAAATCAAAGAAATAAACCAACAATTGCTCATTCAAATACCAAGCTCTTGATCAAAGTATTAAACAAGCATAGGAATTATGAACTAAGGATCAATAACATAAGATAAATGACAATTAAACATGAATCCTTCAAAACTCATAAATATCCAAAGGTTTTAGTCCAAGTCAACAAAAATAAAGAGATTAGCCACTCATGGCAACAAGAAAACAATCACTAAAGAGTTTTTGCATCAAGAAACTAGCAATTACTAGAAGGATGGGAAGAATTTAGCTCTAAAACTCCAAAAACACCTACAAGGTGCTCCAATGGTGGAAAAATTGAAGTGTGGCTGCCAAACCTACCCCCTCCCCCAAGGTAAATGATAAGCAAAATGACCAAAATTCCCCAAAGTGTGCAGTTGCACGGGTACCCTCGCAAGTTTGCACGACTAAGACCCCACCCTCGCAAATGGGGTTGAAACACTATTGACTCTTTTTCTCCACTACTCCATCCCACTACTCAAGATTCCTTTGGTCCCCTATACACCTCACTTGATTCAAATTTAACCATTCATCTTCAAGCTTCAAATGGATAGCCCAAGCCTGATAACAAGAGTCTTTATAAGCTCACTTCATCCAGGTCTTCAACATTTTAAGCCCAATTCTTCTTTGATGGATCCATAAAGCCCAATAACCTTTCTCAAGCCCACCAAGCCTATCCCTAAGCTAAAATATAACCACATTGAGACTCCAAAAGCCTGCAAAACACCTCACGCAAAATAGAAAGTACTCGATACGATCCAAGATATAGAATGAGATAGAATATACAATGATAAAAAAGGCTAAAAAACTAAAAGAACCTATAAAAACGGAAATAAAATAAACTATCAAATCACCCAAGCTTAGACCTTACTTGCCCTCAAGTAAGAACAAGACTAAAATGAACTCGAGATGAGCTAAGCTAAAAAGGAAAAAGAAAGATACCATAGAACTTGGTACATCAGTCAACATGGTCAGAATCACTCGTGTATGGACCCTACGCATCTTCCAAATGTTCCCCACTTTAGAGCTATAAGCCATATTCTTGAACAACTTGAAGGGCGAATAGATACCGTTTGAAGGTGGCAGCTAGGGGTGAAAACGAGCCGAGCCGAGCCCGAGCCTGGCCAGGCTCGGCTCGGGCTCGTTTACGTTATATGAGGCTTGAGCTTGAGCTCGGCTCGATTCGAGCTTTCTTGTACTGAGCCCGGCTCGAGCTCGTAAAGAATTATCTAAGCTCTGCTCAGGCTCGGGGTCGACTTGTTTTTTATCTGATGTGCCTAAATAAGCTTAAGCTCGGATCGAGCTCGTTAAGAAGCTCGTTTACTAATACCCTAAATCCGTAATTCCTCTAATATATTTTTATTTTAATATATATAAATAATAATAAATTATATTATATAAAGGTTCGTTTAGGCTCGCGAGCCTAATCGAGCTTAATGACATAGGTTCGAGCTCGAGCTCGTTTAATAAACGAGCTTAATATTAATCTCGAGCTCGGCTCGGGCTCGTTTAAAATCGATTTCGAGTCGAGATTTTAACGATCCGATCCCAAGTAGCTTGGCTCGTTTGCACCCCTAGTGGCAGCCAGTAGAGTGTACAAGACAAAGGAAACAGTGCGATGCGCCCAACGGGGGCACTATACAACAATGCATACTATAATGCATAAAGGAAATGCGCATATTGATACACGATGATTCCTACATTGGTCAGACTAAGGGGTGGTTTGATAGTTGCTGATTAGGTTAGAGCTAACTGGGTCCACATCTGACTGAGTTTATGTTGTTTGATTATTTATCCGACTGATTGTGATGAATGAAAATAATGACCATATTACCCTTGTGTTGTCCCTTGTGCTAGATAAAATAATTATAAAAATACAAACTAAAAACAAAATTAAACATACATCATTTAAAATCCAAATATAAAGTTTAATACAAAATCCAAATATAAATTGTCATACATAATAATAATAAAAGTACATCACTTAACGTGAACCATTTGAAAGTAACCGATTAGCAATTTGGTCACGCAAAGTAGTCATATAGTCAGCTGCTTCTGTACCCCATTCTATACCATGTATGTTTTAGCCCTCACTTCCTCCACCTTCCACGTCAGGAGTAACCGTAGTGTTTTGTTCAAAGTTCGTAAATAATTTATCTTCGATATTGTATTTCCTTATAAAATTATGGATCTCAACACAAAGAATGACTATGTCTCTTTGTACTGGAAAAGGATAAGGAGCCATTTGTTTTAAAATTAGAATACACCATAAGCACGTTCAATGATATTTCTAAGTTGTGCATGAGCATGATTGAACCTTTCTTCCTTATTTAAAGCTCTGTTTCTTCGAAAATCAGCTAACCAATACCTAGTATTGCGGTAGGGGGCCATAAATCCACGGGTGTTGGTGTATGAAGCATCACAAAGGTAATACTTATCTGTA